TGCAGAGCCACCAGTCGAAGCTTCTCCTCATAGGTCGGGTGGAAGGCCTTGCCATCTTTATCTGAGAGCGACAATGTGGAAGCAATGAGTTTGCATTTATTTGTCTTTTATGTCCTGCTGTAAAAAAAAAGTGCTTGTGAATACTACACCTTTGTTTCTTTGTACAACATGGTAGTAGAAACAGTAGTAGTATATAGAGTATCATATTCTTGTTCCAAAAAGTATAGAATATAACAGATACTCTGTTGATTGTTACCATTCTCCTTTTTCAAAAACAATGCACACTTTAACTTTAAAATAAACCTCATGGTACATACTGAAATGTAATTAAATCTAAGGTGAGGCAAGAAGCAGATTTGTGTATACAAGTTACGCAATCAGACCTAACCGTCATCTGACTAGAAATGCACGACTAGAAATACAAAGCACAGATTACTATTCCACAGAGCGGCAACCAGGCCCAAACCGGTTTGTACAGTCATCACAAGTACTTTGCTCTAATGAGGACAATTCAAATGCCCAGTGTTCAGACGTTCTTATACATATTGAGGACGTTTTCAAAGTAAGAACTGACATTTTTAATTCATACATGTCATCTGACAAGTTAGATCTGAATACATTTTGGATACTGTGCTGTTAAATATTACTTTTAGAGATTTAAAAAACTAAAATGAGGCTTTTATCTTGAAAAGTAAATTATTACAGCCTGTTATATATTGCAATAATAAATTTTTCATGTTGTCTTTTGAGGCCAAGCTATTTAAAGTAAGAACACTGGTGTCAATGGTGTCTTAAGGGGATGCTAAAGGCAGTCCAGGTTAAACAGCCTTCCAGTTTTGATGCATGGAAAACACAAATACAGCCCTTAGCATGTTTCCTTGGAGATCCTGTTGGAGCAGTGGCAGCAGGGAGTGGTGTGGACATGAGGAGGCAGTGGGGCTGTAAAACTAGTGGTCAGACATCCCTGAAACGTGGCGTTAGGCAGCACTGTGGGCTGATTTGAACACAGACTATGGGCCAGTTTATCCTCAGAACAAACTCAATAAAATCCTTGAGCACAGCAGGAACCTGTGAGTGTCTAACAGATCCCAGAGGGATGTGTGTAAAGCAGCTGACATGCAGCCTTCAGCCGCAGCAGTGGAAGGGCAGGGCGTGTTTAAAGCTCCCAGTTCACCATGAGCCACCACTCAGTTAGGATGGGTAGCTGCTTACAGTACTACTTTGTTTATATAGCAGTCGCTTGATTCACAGACTCACGACAAGCCAGGTTATTCTGCCCGAAACCCAAAGACAGGTACACAACACCAGGCAAACAGCCGAGTGAAAAATGTCCTCAGGCCACACACACAAACACATATGGACAACTCGGATGTGTCGAGCTTGTTTTACCCTTTAACAGCCAGCTAAATAGCTTGTTAGCGGTGTCGGCTCCTCGTTAGCTTCGTGGCTAATGTAATGTAGCGGCTGACAGCAGCTCCGGCTGTGACAGCTAACGTTAGCCAAGTGCTAACCTCCGCGAGCAGCGAACGGCTGGTCTCACAGTTGAAACGGTCGGTTCGGATACCAGCCGTTACTGAGCGTTAAAGGTGAGGGATTCGAACAACAACAACAACAACAACAACAACAACAACAACAACAACGTTAAATACCTTTGAAGAATTTAAGGGCCATTCCGTACAGCTCTTGTAGAGGAAAGCCCCATTTCCTCTCTATGGCAGATTTGCCAGTCTCTCCATCTTCGCCCTCAGCGGCACCCGGCGTATCGGTGTCGGGCTCCGCGTGGTTGGGGTCCGGCTCTTCGACCGGGCCCTGCTCGCCCTCCGGGTCGGGACTGAGGGTGAGGCCATCGATGGAAACTTCGAGCCGGCTGGAAGTAGCACTGTCGAGGTCGCCGCTCTGAACCTCTGTCGCCATCATGTAGACTGTCAGCTGAAGCAGCCACGTACCTACTTCCGTTTAGACCTGGCGGAAGTTCCGGGAGTTTTTTTTTTTTTTTTTTCGATGTAAATAATGACGACGCTTTAACCGATAAGATAATTCAGAATCAGAAATACTTTAATAATCCCAGGGGGAAATTATTTTTGTTACAAACTCCAGATATACAAACCATATATTAAGAACATATATAAATATATATATATAAAAGATAAAATGTACAGTTTAATAATGTGCAATAATAATAATATATATATAAAATAATAATTATTTACATTAATCAGTTTTTTTATTCATTTATTTATTTTGTTGTATTTTGAGCTACCATAATTACAAAAAACACGCAAGAATTATTTTGTTTTTGTTAATTTTACTCAGGAAATAACATATTCACAAAGCAAAATGGCAATTTTAAAAAATGTATTTTGATTAATTTTAATGTTACATTAATATTATTGTAAAAGCAATGGCAAAAACTAACAATTACTTTATTACGATGTATTTTAAGACCCTGGCAATAATCATATAAACAGACATTTTTATTTTTATTGTTGAAGAATTGGAGTTCATTTTTGTCTGTACATGCACTGAATATGTGCATACCTATGATAAATAAACTAATACAGGTGCTGAAGAAGCCAATAATTATTTAAATGTTTGATGTGACAATAAATAAATTAATTTAGACACACAATCTTCTTAATTTCGGTACAGACACATGTTACAACACTGAAAAAATCTCACTGTTTATTGAAAACATTGCAGAATAAACCTCCTAAAACACAATAAAATACATATAAAACATATAAAATACACAAATAATCAAGGTGTGTAACTAGTCTTAACTTTATAACTTCAGATTTTTGTAGTTTTGAGTGTAGGGCACAAACACCAAAAAATATATTTTTGTTTTAAAATGTATCTTGGCTACTATTTATCCTTGCAGTGGAATGGATGGATTTCTGTTCATTTATTTTAGTAAATATATAATATAAAGCATGACAAATACTGGGGCTGAACAGTCCTTTTTTCATAAGCACAAAAAATAAGGACGCATTAAATAAGGATATTAAACATTTGTGACAGCTGAAAAATAAACTTAGGTGAGGCAAGAAGCAGATTTGTGTATACAAGTTAAAATCTCTACTGACACCAATGCCATTTTATCTGCAATAAGCTAATATATATTGTTGACGTATAGGCCCAGGTGATTTGTTGATCCAGGCTCATATGAATACACTTCACAAATCAGTCCTTAGAAGATGCATACACAACAACAACAACAACAACAACAATCACACTCTGCTACAGCTTGTGATAATATTAATGCGCTTTTACACTGAGCACACATTTCTATTAGAAAACTATAAACGTACTGTAGCTCCTTAAAACATCCCTCAAATACACAAAGACTGAACTCATAACAAAGGCACATAAGACAGTTGATGTTTTAACATATAGCTGCAAACTTGTGAGGATAATTTACCTGTCTGTCTGCATGGTAAATGTATAGTGGTCAGGTCAAACTGTGGGTTAAACAGTGGTCAGAGTTTGAAGGTGTGAATGCTTTTGTTTGTGTCTACGGAGTCAGCTGCCAACTGTAGGTAGTCAGTGAAAATCCCAAAAAGTGTTTGCACTGTTTGATGTTTGAAAGTTCAGTCAGTTAACTGCAATACATCAGGATTAATCAACTTAGTGTGACATGACGATAAATGTCTGATTTCTATCTTGTGCTGCAGAGAAAATTCTGACTAAATACAAACGTTATAAAGCAAAAGTACATTACACATTTCCTGCACTTGCAATGCTGAATTTATATTCTTCATTAGCCACAACTGAAGAGCTTTATGGCCACAGATGAATGTACGTTTACTGTTCATTTCATGGTCTGCAGATAGCTCTCAGCCATTGTCCATCACAAAAGATCAGGAACTTCAACAGCCTGATTTTTGCATAGCAATCTGGTCTGTGCACACAGGCAATACCCAATTAGGGCTCTCAGACAAAGAAACCTGTGAACTGTGAATGTCTTTACCAACAAGCACATCCTATCTGAACAATGCTGTATGTGTCAAAAAACAGAGATCAATAAGTGCTGTTGTGGATGTGACACAATAGCTGTCAAGTAATTTTCCCACAGAGATCAACAAGAAAATAATCAGAAATAGTGTTTGGGTTTTGTTTTTTAGGACCATGCTACAGGTCTTTTTCAGTGCATAATGCTAACTTCTTATTTAGCCAAAAATGTCATCTACTCCACAATGATGACTTAAACACAGTTGCAGATGTATCCCATAAATCATATAAATGGGGATGCAGTAATAACTCTGGCACTTTTTTACTTCATGTTGCAATAATCTCTTCACCTTCACCCAAAGTAATTAAATATGATTTATAAAATTGACCCTATAATTGACAAAATAACAGTCAAGGATGTATAAAAAAATGACTGATGTAAAAAAAAAAAAAAAACAACAACCTTTGTCTGTTTTTAAAAGTACATGTAACCATAAAAGCGCATTCCTGCAAACCTTGTCTAAACATGTGTGAACAAATTAGTTTGTCTGTGGTGCTACCTGACCTCCTGACTTGTTCCCCCCCTCTGAATCAGATGAAGGTGAGCCATTCAATGACAAGTGCCCATTGCTGGGTACTTTTGAACTGAGGTTTGTGTATTGAGATTAACTTTGTTGCTACTGAAGAGGGCCAGGCTGCATAATTTCCTACATAGATCAGTATTGAGGAGCAGAACTTGGAAGACCTGCATCTATATAAGACATAACTTATATTATTTAACATTTAAGATTAAATGAAATACAAAATCACCAAAGAAAACCATTACAACCCCATGATAACATACAGTATGTCTAGTTACAGAATCACAGTCGGGAGGACAAACATTCAATTTGAATTACATATCTTGTAGGTTAATATAATATATAATGCGCTGTAGCACATATATTTAACTGTCCACAAACGCAGCATGCATATACAGCATTGGAAACTGGCCATATAGAAATATTTTATATATATATTTTAAATAATGTAAAATAATATGCAATTTGACTGGAGATTATTAAATACAGAAGAACATTTATACATTTGTGTTATCAGGCCACAAACTGCTGCCCCTGAGGCTCTAACCCGTTGAGGAAATGGCAGTTTCCGACCGTCTCTCTTTGAAGGCTACAGGTCCATTATTGCTTCATCCATTCCAAAGCGGATAAATGTTTTCACTACCGATGTGTATTGAGCATGCAGATTCCATTAAAAACCCTTTAAAGAGACATGCGGCCGCTCCACCGTCCCAGGTGTGATGCCTTCACACCTCCACCGGCCTGCAGACGTCTGAAGTTGCTCCACGGCCGCTGCAGCGCCAGCCGGCACTGATGGTCGCCCCATTCACACATACAGGCAGCACCACCTTTGATCGCAGGAGGATTTAACCCCAGCGAGCGCACAGGTCTCAAACTCAGTCAGTTTGAAGTGAGACGTTGAGGAACATGTCTTCTGTTCATGGGAATATGCGCGTCGGGGATCTGAATCATTTCCAGATGTATCACGAAGGAGCTCTGCAGATGAACAGCATGGTGAACTCAGGTTGGTGGCTGGCAGCGCTGTGCGTAATTTACGCACAAGACCAGTGTCACGTTTCTATGACTCCTGCTTATCTAACGTTAGAATCTAACAATCTGTGCGTTTACTTTTCAGATTACGGAGCGTCAGATGTTACAAACTACTACAACTCTGCAAACTCTGTACCGAGGGCGGATAAATGCGTGGCAATACTAACCCACAGGCGGAAGAGGACCAACTTTACCCAGCAGCAAATTGAGGTGCTGGAGAAAGTTTACTCAGACACTAAATATCCTGACATCTACCTACGGGAGAGACTGGAGGCTCTGACCGGGCTACCGGAGTCCAGAATTCAGGTACTTTAGTGGTTTAAAATCCCAGCTCCCTCAGATATTTATTGTTCTATTGTGTTTGTTTATCTATAGGTTCAACTGTGCTCACGTTTGTTTTGTTTCCCTCCAAATTTCAGGTGTGGTTTCAGAACAGAAGGGCCAAGTCTCGTCGCCAAGTTGGCTCATCAGTGTCAATGAAGGTCGCCAACCCGCCAGCAGCTGGCCCCTTCAGCCAACTCCAGAGCAGGATGGGACCAGAGAAAGGTAATTATTAGTCATACATGTTTGTGTTCTGGTTCAGTTGCACTTTTTTCACTCGAGCATTAAGTGGCCTGCTCAGCCATAGTGGTTCCTCACAAAAAATAACTTCTAGTCCTTCCATTTAAGTTATGAATAAGGGTTTTTGCTACTGAAAACACTTCATTTAAAGTCACTTAAGTTTATTTAATAAGTAACTACAAAACTCTCCAGTGTAGGGACTAGAGTAAAAGAGCAAAATACAAGTTTTCTTACATTTCAGAACCGTTTTCTCTTTCAGTTTATGACAACAATCATGGAACTGAGGCACACAGGATAGGAGGTTTCCGCCTGGAGGACAGTTTCAGACCTACAATGCACCAAAACACAGAGGACGCTCACAGAACCAGCATACCCACCAAACCCGGCAGCTATGAACACACATCCATCTCCTGCATCTACGACAAGGAGGGAACCAGAGTGAAACCTGAGCAGATGCAGCGACACGAGCTGAGCGTTAACGTGCCATGCTGCAACGTCCATCTATATCCCAAGGAGAATGAGCATCACCCCAAGATTGAAGACAGCATGACTGGCAACCAGGGTCCAAAGGTTCTGGTGGAATACGACAATTTCCCACCTAACAAGACCATTGGACCAGAGATGAAAGTTGTGATTCCTCCTATCCCGACCCAGAATAACTTCAGCAGGTCATCACCTAAGGAAAATGGATGCCAAATCCAGTATCCACGAATGAGGGCCACAGGGGACAGGTTCAGTCACTTCTCCCCGATCCATGCCACTGAGGCACAGGACTTTACGGACTCAGACTCGGACTGGGAAAACGAGGCCATGGCTGGCTTTGGTGGCTTTATGTGACGCATCATAAGAGCTGATGTAAAGAAAGCTACATGTATCATAAGAGGCAGTATACGGTTCTTTGTTTGTTTGCATAAAAAGAAAATGTGTATTTATTGTAAAATAGTAATAAAACCATTGATTGTAAAAGAAGAAAACTGTTGATTTGTTTCATCTGTTAATAAAAGACTAAAAACCAGAAGAGTAGATACTGCTTTGCAATATTACGTTTAATATAAAAAGACGGAAACATTTATATACAATTGCCCTGAGGCACTCTCATATACAACTTTACAAAACTGAAAAAGGAGATTCTCTAGGAAAAAACGTCTGACTTGAATTTTTAGAGGTTACATCAGTGATGCAGGCTTAGTGTGGGGGTTGCAGCAACAGCCATGCCAAATATGGAAATGCTAAGATAATCTTAGGGAGTAAAAGGCATCAAATCCCCAGAGTTCTCCTTTATAAAAATACCAAAAATCTCTTTTCAGTGCACACAAAATTATAAAAGCCATTTCTGAATACACAGCAGAAATGTTGACAATAGTCCTAATAATCAGAGATATTGTACAATTATCTACAATAAACAATTTTATAAAACATTCTTTAGCCTCCCTGTGCTTAACATCAGTGGAGCAACAGAACACAACACTTACAGGGGGGAAACTTCAGAGATAGCAAAATATTGTTTCATAACCATACACACCTACTCAAAAATAAATAAATATGGACTATAAAAACTGTAAGAATCAATGTTTGGCACATGAAACCAATAAATAACCATTGAGTTTGTTGTGGATGTGGATTTGCGGCAATAGTTTAAGACTATTTCAGGTGTGTGTTCAATTGGGTGCACCAACATTTTCATACAATAAAAAGGGTAAAATACTTATGACATCCTCCCTCCCATCAGCACAAAGCTCCAGGGGTTGGGGCAGAACTCTGAGTCATTTCACGGGGACATCCAAATTCAGATTGTATGGTGGTGGTCCACAACATTCATGTGAGCTTTTTGTTTGCAGTCTTTTAACAGTTCAGGTGAAAGCACCATCTCAAAAGACAATATTAAATGCCCCACATCTCTGTGTGTGCATGCACCTGTGTGTTGTGTAAATGATTCAGGTACTCAGACTGCGTTGGTGTTGTTGGCAGCAAATGCATGCAGGTTGCCCAGCTGACTAAGGCCACTCTGGATGTGTGCCACGTGGATTTCAACATTATTCTGGAAGCAACTGGAAATACAGAAAAGACAATAGCTTAAGAAATGTTCAGTACTTTGAGGGTGACTGAACGGTTATTGGTAGTCACACCGACACGAACAATAACAGAAATTAACATATTTCATTACTCATGTATGTCATTGACACAGGTAGATCGATAGATCAGGAAGTGTAGTAGAAACACTGCATGGTCTTCTTACCTGAGGTTGGAGGGATCAATAGATGCCTTGATGTCATTAAGGGAGTCTGTTAGAGATTTAAACTCAAATGAATTCAGGTCTCCTCCATCTGCCAGACACTGTAAGAAATCAGGCAAACTCGAATCATGAACAGGTTATCAAAGTAGTAGTCTCATTTAAATATTGTGCAGTCTACATAGAAATAGTGTGAAAGAAAGTTCACTACAGACTTATGAACACATTGATGTTGCTGCCAAATGTGTGCCGAGCTAAAACAATATGTTCCAACATGAACTCATGTTGTCAGAATTACATATTTTAGAAAATCTGTGAGCAGGAATGAAAGCAGACAGCAGCACAGCGTTTATAAAGCCTCTACCTTGATCTGTAGCAGCAGAGCTGTGAGGCGGGAGATGAGGTGTGTGAGGCTGGGGTTTGTCACACTCTGCTGTCCGTCCTTCGTTGAGTTGCTCAGCTGCACCATCTGCTGGGCTTCTTCTTCACAACGCCGCCGCAACTCTGTGGGATGGTCGGCTGGAACCATGCCCTGATCTGGAGCAAGCTGGATGGACACATGGTCATTCACATCTTTAACAAGGCTCTGTTCTTTTTTTTTTTCCAGATAAAGACTGACGAGGAAATGAGAGACTAGAAATATCAAAACAGGGTGTGACTATCGCAGATGTGCACACTTTCCTGTACTTTGCTTCATAGGCAATAATTAGTCATAGTACTGAAGTGTAACTATTGACTTACCTCACAACAGAACTGCTGAACTTCATGAAGCACCTTGTTGAGATCTTTATTGAGCTGTTCAAGCTCAAGCACTGTGGTAGCATATCGCTTCTGGAAGTCAAGGTCAATAGGCATAGAGTACGACTTCTAAACACAAAAACAAAATCAGTTTTAGTTAGGCTTGAAGTAGACATCTCAAACGTTTCATAGGTTCTGAAGTAATTATTTTGTTAAATGATGATTGTACCAGTTTCTCTGCCTCTGTGTTCATTTCTTTCAAGTGCTTGATGTGCTCTTTCTTGATCATGAGGATCTTGGACAGCCTTGTCTAGTAATGGAAAAAATAAGATGAAGAATTTGAAAACAAAGTGTTACAGAGTTTTAGGAAGTCTGATTTTAGTTTTTTTTGGTTTTTTTAAGTATTTTTTTTGGCTTTTATTGCCTTTATTTGATAGGACAGCTGAAGACAGACAGGAAAGGGGGGCAAAGAGAGGGGGGATGACACGCAGCAAAGGGCTGCAGGTCGGATTCGAACCCTTGGCCGCTGCAGCAAGGACTCAGCTTTGGTACATTGGTCGCCAGCTCTACCCACTGAGCTAACTGGGCAACCCAGATTTTAGTATTTGACAGGAATAATTTACCACTTGGACAAGGAACTTGACAGGAAATCCTCCCAGAGTATCTCCCTCAGCACCAGGCAGTTTGCTCCTCCATGGTGACTGGTTGATCAGAGGGTCATTGTCCTGTTATTACAAAAGAATGACAATGAAGTAATTAATCTTCATAAGCAGGAAGAGGTTTGCAAATATTTTAAAGACTTGTCCCAAATAGTGCCCACTGTTTAAACACTGATGTGCTGTCAATTTATTATCATTTATCATTTATTATCATTCAAACAGATTCATGACAAAGTGAATAGTAGATTATTTTGACACACTGCCTGAACTGTACTTATACAGTAAATCCACTTATCTATTGTAAGCAAATCTGAAAATACTTTTGCATGCATGCATTTACAGCCTGCTTGTACTAGATTTGTTCAACAAACCATCTCAGAATTACTGGCTGCCTGACCAAGTACCAGTTGCAGTTGAGGAAAAAATCTACTCACAGCCAAAGCAGGTTTAAAACCCTATCATATATCATATAACCACTGTGTGACGCAGTACATCTATCTATCATTAGATGCAGTTTTACAGTACCATGAGGACAGGAGTGGTAGCGGACGGGTAATGGCCTCTAGGCGGAGTCATGAGGTTCTGCATGTAGCGTGTTGTCCGATGTTTCTGGGCAAAGGCTGAAATGGGCATGGTCTCGTTGGGCTCATTGCTCTGGAAAACACAATCACTGGATGTTATTATTAAACTCCTTTAGTACAGCTATTGCACATCTTACCATTTTGACAATTTTACTACATTATAATCTGCATTTAAGTACAAGTGGTAAAAGCCTGACAAACTAAAGATGTTACATGTCTAACCTCAAACACACTTACAGTGGAGCCTTTATCTTAGCCAGGCAACAGGCAAATCTTACCAGGACTTCGTAGTCAGGCACAGTGTGTGTTCCCAGGCCACTGCGGTCAAAGGTGACACGATAGGTGGCAGCGCTGGTGTCCACTGCATCGATCTGACCTGTAAACAACCCATCATGGACGCCTCGGAGTCGAGCTGTGGAACAAAAAGAAAACAAAATCAGAATTCGTACTGGTAATATCGTACAGATCTGTGTGACATCCTAACATGCACTATTGGGTTTGAATTTCCACGTCAGCTAGTTTACACATAACAATGCAGTCACTGTATTTATGGTTCAGGCCATTCACTCTTAAACATTCTCTTATTTCATCTCAACACACAGTTTAATGTGTTTCTTACTGTCCTTTCTGCAGTCCTTACTATTCCTTGCTACTTTATGATCAGTTCAGGGAGAAAATTATCCTTCTGTTGGATTTTCCTTTTTGTGATAAGATATCAGGCAAATGTAACCTGGGTTGCTTTGCAGGTCATTTTACTGCAATGAGACTAGCAACCTAACATTAAACCAGTACAGGGCTGTCTGGCTGCTATAAGTGCCGACAGTGGTATGTTTTCATCTCAGTCATCTCACCAGTGACTTTGGTTCCTATGATGAGTGGCAGGGGGATTTCATCTGGAAGGTCTTTGCAGTTTGACACATCAGACAGTTTTCTTTGCTGCAGTAGGCGCATCTTCTGCCTCTTCTGTCTCAGCGCTGTCCGCTCCTCAGCAAAGAATGCTGACGAACACCTGGATGGGACAACAACGCATAATGCTTCTTTCAAGACTTTGAAGAAACAGAGTTATAAGAAATACAGGGAGAAAACAATTACATACTTGTCTAATGTGTGTCGGACAAAAATAAGGACAAACATGATGAATGAAAATGGTAGGTAGAGGCACAGAGCTTAAAGAATGCAGCATACCGCCGAGGTTTCCCCATCAGTCTCCTGATTGTTCCCCACTCAACCCTTGTTAACTTTCTTGTTTTTAGGTTGGGGAAAGACTCCTTGAGACACAGGCAGAATTCATTGTCACCCTCAAAGAGAGGTCTGGAAAAGAAAATAAGAAAGAAATATTTTTTTGGGGAGAGAAATACACATACAACACAACAAAACACAACACAACATAACACAATATTGTCCTACAAACATTTCTTCTACTTGATTCTGAAAATCAAATTGCAGCTGAACTCTCAAACCCTGTTCAATGTAAGTACTGAATTGCTCAATCACTGTTGAAGCATCTCTGAACTGAGTGCAATTTATCAAAATTAAATGTTGTCTTCTGAAGGTGAAAGTGACTTTACCTGTCAATATTGGAATAGAACCATTCATAGATGCACCATTTGTGAGCTTTGGGTAGCTTAAGAAGGTTTCTTAATCTCAGCCCTATTTTCTGCGATGCCTTTTTATCTGGTGTCACCACATTAGAAAATTTCTGTCGAGAAAAAC